CTGTTTCCTGATCCTGGTAGAGTAGACTAAAATGCCGGTTGTTCTGACCCACAGACTGTAAGTACGTTTTTTATATTTAAAGAATTTGCCACTGACGATTCAAACGCGAGTTTTGAGCAGTGTAGAGTAGCATTTGTAGTTTGTCATTTCTCCGATCACAAATGCAGACATGGTTTTATGTTTACGCGGCGCAATGCAATACAACACGTAAAAAGACAGTATAAGTCATTATAATCCGTAATTATGTCCCCACTGGATGCAACAAATGTCTCGTTTATAATGGGTTTTAATGTTTTTGTCTTGTTGCGCCGGCCGGGACAAGGCATCACAGTATGGTAAGGGGCATAACATTTCCGTCACACGCTTGAGGTATTCGGCCAATTACTGGATAGCTGGCCAATCAGAGCACACCTCACTTTTCAGACCGATGAGCTTTGTAAAAATCGAGGCGTTTCAGAAAGGCGGTGCATAGAGGAGAAACAATAATGTACAGTATGTGGAAAATAATGTGTTTTTTGAACCGTAAACCGCATAAACACATTTCATTACACCAAATACACAAAATAATGTTCTTTTTAGCAACATCATATGACCCCTTTAAATCCACTTGACCCACTACATGGTGTCACGCCTGTTAAAAATATCTACAGTCATTCAGCTTGGTTCATATTTTTTCACCAAGAAAGTTAAATATATACAGGGTAAATTCCAGATCTTTGGAATATTTTTCACCGTCATTTATATATAGTAACTTCATGTCAAAAAAGTTGTCAACCCCATGTACATCCAAGAAAACTAAAGGATCAATTAAACGAAAAGGGCTATTACAAAACTACAGTATAGTTACTGTCTAGCTTAAATACAATTCATGAATATATGATGTATGACAGGTCATGAATATTCAATGATCTGTAAAGTTCTCTTCCAGTTCAGCATTCAGAAATATGAAGAGTCTGAAAATTACAGCAAAAGCCATCTAGTATTCCTCAAAAATAAAGACATTAATGTACTCCATGTAGCTGAATGTAGTTGAAGCAGTCCCAGAACAAATCCCAGAGCTCAGTCCAATTTTGAACCACAAAGTTCACAAATTAACCCCATTCAACAGCAAGCTTGAGCAATTTTGCTAAGATGTTCAACTCTGAGCTAAAGAGACCAGTCCAACTCACATTTCATCATTTTCTGCTACTTGAGTATAATGTCTAACCTTTTTTACAGATCAAAACCTAGAGTACTGAGCAGCATCAGAATTTCTCAGTCAAGTACACCACCGTTTAAAAGTCTGTGATTAGTGAAATTTTTACTGCTTTTATTTTGTCAAAGCTATATTTTCTGCAGTCATCACTCCAGTCTTCAGTGTCACATGTCATGATCTTTCAGAAATTATTCTAATATGCTGACTTTGTGCTCAAAAACTATTTTTATTAGTAGTCAACGAATATTATTATTATATCAATGGTCAAAACAGTTGTGCTAAATAATATTTTTGTGGAAACCATGATATATTTTCTCAGGATTCTCTGTTGAATAGGAAGTTTGAAAGAACAGCATTTATTTGAAATAGAAACCTTTTGTAAAAATCTTTATTGTCATTTTTAAATTAATTTTATGTGTTCTTGGAGAATAAAATTAAATAAAAAGACACCAAAATATGTGATAAATAAAAGTCTCAGTGGATATAATAAACAGTATTTATACTGCTGTTACAGAATACATAAAATAAGTTATCAAAAATATGTTTAAATGCCTAGAAGTAGAAACAAACTTGTCAAAAAGAGAAAAACTTTCCTTTCTTCTTAAACCTATAGACCTTAGACTTTCCAAAACGGGGAAACAACACTCTGGACTTTACACCACAAAGAGAGGAGCTTACAAGGCCCTCCCCCTCCCCCACCTCGGTGCCTCAGACCACATCACTGTCATGCTAATGCCTGCATACAGACCACTCGTTAAAGTCACCAAACCAGTTCTCAAACAAATACAAGTGTGGCCGGAAGGGTCGTCAGAGGCTCTTCAAGACTGTTTTAACACCACTGACTGGAATATGTTTAAGCAGGCTGCCACATACAATAACACCACAGACCTCCAGGAGTACTCAGAGACTGTCACTGCCTACATCACCAAGTGTATTGATGATGTAACAGTCTCAAAGACCATCACTGTCCAGGCCAACCAGAAGCCGTGGCTAACAGGGGAGGTCTATGGACTCCTGAAGACGCGGAACGCTGCCTTCAGAGCTGGAGATGAGGTGGGCTTGAAGACAGCTAGGGCCAACCTTTCCCGCGGCATCAGAAAGGCAAAAAGTCAGTACTCCAGGAGGATAGTGCATCGTTTCAGTGACAGCAGAGACACTCGGAGCCTGTGGCAGGGGATACAGACCATTACAGACTACAAGCCCCCACCACGCACCACGCACCACTGAACTCTGACCCTCTGATGGACTCTCCCACTCCCCCTTCCCAAATACACACACACACTGTCACTTTAATCAGTCTGAATAAGCTCTTTTGCACTACAAATCATTGTATTTTGCACTACAATAATTATATCTGTACTGTTGTTTACTTTACTGGTTTGCACTCTATCTGCCATATGCCTTGTGCTTTATATATATATATTTTTTACATTTTACCTTATTTGTATAGTTGTATTTTGTATTTAATCTGTACCTATCTGTATTTATGTTATCTGTATGCACCAAGGGTCTGAGAGTAACGCAATTTCAATTCTCTGTGTGTATGTGCTGTACATGTGGAAGAATTGACAATAAAGCTGACTTGACTTGATATGTTAATTTGATTTAATGTCTGAAATAAGAACCTATCCGCAAACCATGTGTGCATCAACAAACATTAATAGGGTGTACAAGTGTGGGCTATATATAATATTTCAGGATTTATGTGAGCATCTTGAGTGCTTTAAGTAGACAGTCTAGAGAATTTCAGGGGCTGCTGGGTAAGGCAGGTCTGAATCCGTTCCACCAGTCAGACCAAAAAAAGCTGCGCCACCATCTGCTGTATAGGCTAGATGTTTCTTATAGCCTTTCTGCTATGTCATTTCCATTATAAATACATCAGACATGATTCTTCAGCAAACAATACTGCAAATAGTGCTATAAAAAAGAGATTATAATTAACTAATAAATAAAAAGTAAAAATGCAATCACAGTCTTTCAATTTGCTGCTGACCTGTCATAATAATAATGAGGTATACACTCCCAGATATTTAATAATATCCATATCATTACTTGTGCAGCAGATCAGATTGTTCTGATCTTAAATCCCCACAATGAAGTGTCTTAAAGTCACTGGAACAACACTATAAAAGAGAGAGTGCTCGCTAATGAGATACACTGAGAATACACAGTGAGCTCAGCGTGCTTTTGCTTACATCATTTCTCATGGGTGCAGGATCGCTGAACAGTCCAGACTGAGCGTCTGCTTCCTCTAACTCTGAAGACATGCAAATGTAACATCAACACACTGTATACTCCTGCACATGCAGTGTTGAGGTCATGTGACAGTGTAACAATGTTTTAATAATTATTAAAGGGGAAAACTGGCTGTGCATTTTGACAAAGTTTTGGAAGCAACATACTCTCTCTGTCGTTGTTTTATTTATGCATCTATTTATGTATGCATTGTACATTAGAATACAACAATAAAAACATCAGCCAAGACATTGAGATTGCTTATAATGTCTTTCTCCAGGCATTATAAACCTACTCTGTTTAGATTTATGAGGATTCATGATTCAGGAGCAGTGGTTTGATTTCAGGGAAAGGTGGTTTTAAAGTCAGGAGGTGTTTGAGGTTTAGGAGGAGGTACAGGGTGAATCGGATCACTCTGGCACACTGAAGTGCTGCAATCACAGGATCCTGCTGCTATCCCAACATGAGCATGAGCTCATCCCAGAAGGGAGGCCAACCACAGAGAGGGAAACACACACAAACACATCTGCACACATGCAAGGATGTCGCTGTCAGGAGATACCCACACTCACAGGGGGCTCCGTATGACTGAATTCTGTATTCTGAACTGACTGAAAAAAATTATTTTTTTTATGCTATATTCATACATAGTGAAATGATTTTGTCAAGTCTAAATCTATATAGAATATACTGTATTCAAATATGTAAATAAAACAAAGATTATTAGAGTGCATTTTACAATAACACAATTTTAGTCTTTCTACTTCAAAATTCACATTTAACGTTACTTGC